CCTCACGCATGCGAAAAGACGGCGCCCCTCGGCCCCTGCATTGCGAAAGTTACAAGCCACAGGCGCTGTGGAAAGAGGAGGGTCCCGGAGCGTTCCTACTTATCGATATGGCATAGGTACCGATTGCGGCGTTTCTTCCGAACTGCTGGTGTAGAGCGCTGATGTCATTGCAGGGCCAGCGCGGAGCTTGAAAAGACAAACACACACATCGCCACCGCGATCACCATCGTCGCTATCGCTGTCAGGGACAGCGTGGGTGAAGCAGCGCTGGGGTTCGCGGTGGCACCCAGTGTGCCTGGCGTGCTGGGGCGCCGCCGAATCGACGATCCCCCCTCGAGTTCGTGAGCGCTGCAGCGGGCAGAGCGAGTGGAAGCTCCGAGCATCTGTTGAAGATCGACTCGCGCTCGCGGTTGAATCAGGACTCTCTTTCGGCAGTGCGCCTCTCTCTCTCTGCAGGCGCAGGACCGCGTCCAGAGGCGCCGACTGAATTAGGATTCTGTTTCATTTTTCAAGGTCCCTGCACGCGGTGAATGTCTGGAATAGACTTCCCTATAATAGGCGGCTTCGCTCTGCTCTCTGCGAGGTTTGCACGTGCCGTTGGCGCCGCAGGCTTGACAAAAAAAGCTGGCCGCGCGCGCGCGAGCGTCAGCGGAATGGCCGCTTGGCTTGTGTCTGCGCGTGTCTGAAGCGGTCTGAACGCTTTGCTACGCTCGCATGCTTATTCATGTTTGCAACGGTCTGTCCGCTTTGCTACGCTTGCATCTTTTTGTTCCTAGTTTCACTATTTTAAAGTATCTTTTATATTTTCACTAATTTTCACTTTTTGCACTATTTTTAAAATTATTTTTCAAAATTTTGCATTATTTTCATTATTTTTCATCACTTTTCACTATTCCACGCTATATGTCGATACAATCTTATAGAAACCGATAAGACAATAAGCGTTCTATAATCTTCGCGTTCATCAAAGTGGGCGACCCGCTGGACGACGCCACGCGCAGGAAACTCTTTCTCGCCGGCGCCGCCGCCGGAGGCTACGGACTGCAGAGCGCGGAGCTCGCGGCCCCCGCGGCGAGCACAGCCTCCTGGCACCTCTGCCCGCCGCACTGCCTGCGGCCGCTCGGCCTGGACAGCGCCGCCGCCCTAGCAGCGCTGAGCCCCTGGGCGCGCCGCGCCCTGCCGGCGGCCACGCGGCGACGCTCCGGGCCGCGCTAGGGGACGACACCGCCCACGTGGGCGACGAGGCACTGGCAGCTACTCAGCACGCCCTGGCTACGGCCTCCCTCGCTGCGGCTGCCCGCCTCGCCGCCAACGAAGCGGCCGCGGACCACTCGGCAGCGGCCGCCCTGCGCTCCGCGGGGGGCCCGGGAGCGAGCGTACTCTTGCAGGTGCCGACGCGGCCCTGCTACAGGCTGACCAACGCGCAATTGGACATTGGGCTGCGGTGCCGGCTCAAACTCGACCTGCTTGGCCGCACGGCCCCCGCGCCCGCGGCAGGCGCAGCAGGGCCACGGCCGTCGACGCTCTGCCAGCACCGGCACCCCGACGGCAGAGTCTGCGGCGCGCCGCTGGACCCCAAGGGGCGGCACGCCCGCGGCTGCAAGGTGGGCGGATGGCTGGTCCGCCGCCACGACGCGGGCTGCGCGGCGCTCGCGGAGTGGTGCGAGGAACAAGGGTGCCCGGAGGCGCGGATGGACCTCGTCGTCCACGCGTTGGGCCGAGCTGAGCCACTCATGGTCGACCTGACTGTGGTGAACGCGCTCACACAAAACGCGCTCGCGCTCGGCTCGGCGCGGCGGGACGGCGTGGCAGCGGCGGCCGCGGCGCGGCGCAATCGGGCCCGCTACCCCGAGGTGGCTGTGGTGCCCTTCGTGTTGGAGGACCACGGCCGCCTTAGGGAGGAGGCGCTCGCCGAGGCTGCTGGCGCCCACCCAGGACACGGCCCACTCGGGCTCCGCGGCCATCCGGCGACTGTACCAGTCGCTCGGGTGCGACCTCCAGCGGAACGCCGCCGATGCCGCGCTGGCGGGCTGGCGTGGCAACACTGGCTGCCGCGCTGGGGGCAACACTGCGGGGCAACGCTGACTGCCGCGCTGCGCGCCAGGCAGCTGCGGGGCAACACTGACTGCCGCGCTGGCGGGCTGGCGCGCGCGCGACTGCCGCGGGGCGGCAGCGGGCCGCGCCACTGCGCGCCGGGCGGCGGCGAGCGCGGAGCCGGCGGCGGAGCGGCGCAGCGCGGGGCGCGAGCGGAACTGGGCCCGGCGCGGGCAAGGCCTTGCACGCTGGCGGACAGGCGCGCTGGCGAGCACTGCGCGGGGCGCCCCCGGACGACTGCGGTGTCCTGCTGGCCCCGGCGGAGCTCCCCAGAGGCCCTGGCCAGCAAACCCCTCCCCCCTGGGAGTTGCCGCTGTCTCAGACAGCCGGCCACCCCCGGGGGGAGCCGCCCCACGACTACGGTGGGTTCTGCCGGCTCACGATCAATGTGCTCCGGGCGCGCGGGGAAGACTCGCGGCCGCCCGGAGGAGGAGGTGAGAAACGAGACGTGGAGGGTGGGAAAGGAGACGAGGTGATGTGGGGGGAAGGAGAGGAGCGTCAAGTCGGAGATGAGGAGGAGGGATAGGAAAGAGAGAGGGAACGAGGAGGAGGAGGAGGAGGAGGAGGAGGAGGACGAGGACAATGCGAAGGAAGTAAAAGAGGACGAGGCAGGACGATAACGATGGAAAGGTCGAGGAAGACGAGACTGAAGGAGGACTGGTGGGAGGATCACGAAGGGGAGGACGAGGAAAAAAGAAGAGGAAGAAAAAGGAAGGAGCTGGAGCAGGACGAGGGGATGAAATACGAGGATCCGATAATTCGAGAACAACTGCCTGATCCCAATGCAAATGCGATCGGGCAACGTGGTAACTTATAACGGTGGCGCAGCCACCCGCCCAGCGAAGTCCGCGGAAAAACAACAGTGCAAGGAGCTCTGGCGGAGATAGCACGCATCGGAACAAAAACACATGGAATCTAGGTGTAAACACATAAACGAAAACTTTCGAACTGCTCGATTGCGTTACTTTCGCGAGCATGTTCCGCCTATGTGAATTGCAAGTGAATGGTTGGACATGTGTGCCAACATCGTGGGATGCAATCCCAAACATCCGGCGCTTCGATGTGTTCGATGAGTGGGCTCCGGGACCTCTTGAGCCCGTGCCCAATAAACGGTCGACGTTACCGCGAGCTCTCTCATGCGTCCAGGGCGTCCGACAGCCTGTGCATGTCATGCGGCTGCCAAGCGCGTGCGCCGAGCTCATCTCCGGGGTTACAGTGCGGACGCGGCGGCTAGAAGCCCTCGCAAGAAAACCAGCCCTGAAAACCCACAAGTGCGAGATGCAAGTGGGGGGGACCCACGGCACCCTGAACGCAGCAGCTCCTTCCACGGCCGCAGCGCGCGGAGCCAAGGAACACGGGGTACCCTGACGACAAGCATGCGGTTTCTTGATGCGCGTCCCCACTAAGCATTTCTTCCGCTCCCCCATGGGATCCCAGAACTCCAGCGGTTTCATCGTTTCGACCTCCCCCGAACGAGGAAAACATAGATGCTCTCTGCTTGTCCCAATAATCCTTGAAACCACAGCGCAGTGCGTATCCTCCTTCCTTCCTCCTCCTCTCCTCCTCCTCCTCCTCCTCCGCCTCCTCTCCGCCTCCCCTCCTCCCCCTTCTCATCCTCCTGCTCCAACTCCTGCCCCTCCTCCTCCTCCTCCTCCTCCTCCTCCTCCCCCGGTACCCTGCCCAATTCTGGCACACCCCTCAGTCGCTTCATTTTGGCACATCTCTCATACGCTTCGCGCCCTCATGGGGAGCTCCACAGAAGGCCCCAATGGCTGCGTCCGCATGGTGACTCGGGTCCATTTTGGCACACCCCTCACACGATTCTTGGCACCGTACGGAGCTCCACCGCAGGCCCTAGTGGCAGGGTCTGGGTAGCGACTCGGGTCGCTTCTTGGCACCATACGGAGCTCCACCGAAGGCTCTGGTGGCAGGGTCTGCGTTTTGACTCGGGCCCATATTGGCACACATCTTACATGCTTCGTGGCCTCAACCTGCACCGAAGGCCCTAGTGGCAGGGTCCGCATGGTGACTCGGGTAGCACAGGGACGGGGCGGCGAGCTGCCATGCAAGTCCCTGCCATAGGAGATGTAAAACCATTATCCCTCCCCCTGCTCTCTCTCTGCTCCCGTACCCCTGATCCGTGCACATTCGTCAGCGCGCTCCCGTGCCCGCCTTGAGTCGTGACAGTGCGAGACTGGGCCGGCTTTGAGTGCAATTTCCCGTTCTTTCGCGAAGCGTTCAGGGCTGCTGGAGATCCCTCAAGATGTTCTTGTCCATGGAGCGGTCCTGTCAATAACCGTCACCCGCTCACAAAAGATTCGGTTCTTCGCCAAGAGCCCCTTATCTATTATTTGCGATAGGGCGCGTGACCGCCTCCCCCCTTCGCATTCCCAGGCGGCACCGGCGCGAATCGTGACCCGGCCCCCTCCCCCATCCCTCCCCCCTAGTCACGCCCGTTATCACCAAAGAACACAACGTCGCTCTCCAAGGAGTCGTTTTTTTCCCAAGCAAATATTATGTGTGTTGCCCGCTCTGGCGCCCTGGACCTCGGCAACAGAACCCAGAGGCGTCGGGAGGCCTCCGCGGACATCCAGAGAACTGCGCGGATACCTCCAGAGGACCTGCAGAAGCGCCTTGAGAGACGTCACGACGGTGTGTCGCGTTTGCGAGCTCGGTGCCCCGGGCCTGGGATCACAAAGCCGGAAACAGAAGCTGGCCCCGAGGATGAGGTCGAAGGCTCTGGGGTCCGCGTCGGGAGGAGAGCATGGCGCCGGAGGCTTGGGTTGCCGCTTCGGTGCGCAAAGCCTGGTATCAGCTGGGGCACGCAAGCGATGGCGGCCAGGAGCGATATGCAGGCACCTCAGAATATGCACCTCGTCAGCGTCATTCAATTGTTCTCCTCAACGTCAGGTTAACTTATCATCACATTGAACGACCTCTTCGCCACCTTCGCCATCGACATCATCTTTGCCATCACCGTCGTAACACATGAAGCTCTCCACAAGGTCACCCACGTCCTCACCCTGAGAGATGTCAGTCAGTTCATCCATGTCCAGACCGTTCAGCCAATTGATGAAATTGTGCGCGTATTTGCTAGCGAATGAGTGGGCTTTTGGATTGAGACGCACCAGGGTGCAGAACTTCTTGCCGTCGATTGCCAAGACGTCTCCATCTTCCAGCGCGGTGAGCAGACCCCTGTGGACCCACTTCGTCCACAGCACGGGCTCAGCGATCCAATCTTCATTGTTGTTTACTTTTTCCCTGCAAAGAATTCCTGAAGAATCCCGCCTCGTGTACTCGGAGCTGCCCTCCACCACGATCCAGAGGTGTGTCGCCTCCTCGCCAGGGTAGAAGAGGTAATCGCCGCTTGCGACGAGCTTGTGGCTGATGGCGGAGTTCGCCAGCCGCTGCACCGTGATTTGCGACAGCTCGAGATGTATTGTTCCCAGTTCTCTGCGATAGCCCGGTATATCCAGCGGGGGGGTCGGGGAGGGAGTTGCTTGCCGATAGTTAACCTGACCTTTTCGCTCTGGGCAGCCCCAGATATACCCGCGCGCACCAGCACTGCGCACCCCCTTCGCACACGCGCAGCCAACAAGGTCAGGTCATTCAGGGGGGAGGGGGATAGGGGCGGGCCCGATAAGTCAGACTACCGCCAAGTCAGGGTGAGGGGGCAGAACGGTCATTCATTGTCCCTGGGTGCGTGGCTGAATGAGGAACTCGTGGTGAGAGTTCTGCATGTTGCGTTGTTGTTGTTGTTGTTGATGATGCTTGTTGTCGTCGTCCCACCCACGACCCACCCGTGACCCACCCCGCGACCTACCCTCCAACCCACCGACCAACCCCGCGACCCACCCCGCGACCCACCCGCGACCCAACCCGCGACCCAACCCGAGACCCACGGGCAACCCACCCGCGACCCAACCCGCGACCCACCCCGCGACCCACCCGCGACCAACCCATCCACGACCCACCCGCGACCCACCCGCGACCCACCCCGCGACCCACCCGCGACCCACCCCGCGACCACCCCGCGACCCACCCCACGACCCACCCTCAAGGGAGGAAAAACCACCCGGACCCGACAATTGATGTTTACTAAAACGGCCCTGGGCGTTGACAAAATAGCCCTGCCTCGTTCGATTCATTCCCTGCGTGCGTTTACTAAACGGCTTCGCTTGTCGGGGTGAGTATTCTGGGGTAGATTTTGCCCTGTATACACCCGCGACCCACCCGCGACCCAACAGCGACCCATCCGCGACCCATGTGCGACCCACCCGCGACCCACCCGCGGCCGACCCACATTGGCTTCACGAAAAAATCTGCGCCTGCGGCAGGCTCGTTGTCAGAGTGAGGGGGCTGAACCGAACGGTCATTCACTGTCCCTGGGTGCGTGGCTGAAATGAAATTCCGCGATGCGGATTATTGTTGTTGTGTGTTGTGTGTTGTTTGTTGTTTGTTGTTTGTTGTTTGTTGTTTGTTGTTTGTTGTTGTTGTTGTTGTTGTTGTTGTTGTTGTTGTTGTTGTTGTTGTTGTTGTTGTAATTGTTGTTGTTGTCGCCGTCCCACCCGCGACCCGCCCCGCGACCCACCCGCGACCCACCCCGCAACCACTCCGCGACCCACCGCGACCCACCCCGCGACCCACCCGCGACCCACCCCGCGACCCACCCGCGACCCACCCCGCGACCCACCCCGCGACCCGCCCGCGACCCACCCCGAGACCCACCCGGCGACCCACCCGCGACCCACCGGCGACCCACCCACCCGCGACCCACCCCGACCGCGCACCGCGACCCACCCGCGACCCACCCGCGACCCTCCGCGACCCGCGACCCGACGAACCCAAAATGTTCGGCGCCTGCTTCGGGGTTTTCTTTCGCATCCGTTCCAAGTGGAGAACCTGCGACCCACCCCGCGACCCAAACCGCGCCCGCGACCCACCCGCGACCCACCCCGCGACCCACCCAAAATTTTCGGCGCCTGCGGTGGGCTTCTTTTGCGTTCGCTCCAGGTGGAAAACCTGCGACCCAACCGCGACCTCAACCGCGTTCTGTACAAATCCGAATTTTCGGCGCCTGTGGCGGGCTGTTTTTGAATTCCTGCCAGTGGAGGTGGAGAGCCCGCGACCCACCCGCGACCCAAAAAACGCTCACTGAACAAGCCAAACATTCGGCGCCTGGGGCGGGTTTCTTTTGCATTCGTTCCAGGTGGAGAACCTGCGACCCAAACCGCGTTCAGTGGACAAAACAATTTTGTTCGGCGCCTGCGGCGGGCTGGCTGTTTTTGAAGTCCTACCAGTGGAGGTGGAGAGCCCGCGACCCACACGCGACCCAAACTACGCTCACTGAACAAGCCAAACATTCGGCGCCTGCGGCGGGCTGTTTTTGCATTCGTTCCGGGTGGCCCACCAGCGATCCCCCCCGCGCTGAACTTGTGTGAGCACGCAAATCGGCGCCTGCGGCGGGCTTGCAGGAGGAGGAGGAGGAGAAGGAGGAGGAGGAGGAGGAGGAGGAGGAAAAGGAGGAAGAGGGGGAGGTGGAGGAGGAGGAGGCGGACGACGACGACGACGACGACGACGACGACGACGACGACGATGAGGACGAGGACGCGGACGAGGAAGAGGAGGAGGAGGAGGAGGAGCTGGAGGAGAAGGAGGAGGAGGAGGCACCCTCGACATGGAAGGTGAGGGCCACGAGGTCCGCCGGCTCGACGCCCGCGTCGCCCGCGCCCGCCCCCTCACTCTTATCCGCAATTGCGGGGTGCTACGTGTAATGTGTGAAACGTTCGCGCCTGCGGCGGGCTCCTCCAGAGTCTCGCAAACTGCCGACGTCCCCACCGCCCACTCACTCTTATCCGCATGTGCGAGGTGCTAATTACGTAGTGTTTCCATTCGCAGCCGTAAACTGGCGGTATGCAGGAGGGGTGGGGGAAGGGCATAACATACCGCCCCCCCGCCCCGCCGTGTGGGCCGGCATCACAGACTGTGGTGCCGGATGCACTGCGGCAGTGCTAGGGGCGCACTGGGGGGAGCAGGGGGACAATTACGTTGTGAGATGGGGGGGGGGCAAGGAAGGAGGGGAAGCATCACGCGCGTTATGACCCTGAGGGTTGTAAAAAAACAGTTTCCTGGCACAACTTAGCCAAGAACGGGTGGATCCGCAAGTGGGCCACCGCCAGCTCGCACTGCAGCTCGGAGAACAACTGCTCGGACAGCAGGCTCATGAGCCGGATGCTCTTAGCGGGCTTCCGCTCCTGAGTGAGAGGTGGCAGAGAGGCTGTCTCAAAAACGCCCAGGGAGACAATCAGAAATACAAAAGGCGTTCAGGGATACAATAAGAAATACACACGAATTCCCGCATCCCCAATTCGCCACCGTACAGCTGGGCACGGAGTGGGCGTTCTCAGGTCCTTTGCCTCATCCTTTAAGCCCGAGTCCTCACTCCTGGGTTGTCTTGCGGGGACCCAGACCCCAAATTCTCAAACCTCTCAGGGATTGGCGCGTGCCTGGGTCGTCTTGTCGCGTGACGCTTTCGGGCCCAAGAGGGCCCCCAGACGGGCCAAGACGGTCCCAGAAGGTCCCGAGGACGGTCCAGGAAGGTCCCGCGTCGCCGAACGATCGTTCCAAAACGCTCAAGATGGCCCCCAGATGGCCCACGAGGCCTCGACGACACCCGAAGAGGCCTCCAAGAGGCCTCCCACGAGGACCCCAAGAGGCAAAAATCACTGAGGAGATTTTAGAAAATCATTGGCGTTCCCGCCTTTTCGGCGTTCCCGACGCTCCCAGACGACTCCAGAGGCCTCCACGATCACCCCAAGACGGCCCAAGAGGCCTCCAAGAGGGCACCAAAACGGCTCAAGAGGGCCCAAAGGCGGCACAAGAGGCCCCAAAGACGGCCCCAGAAGCCCCAAAGACGGCTCTAAGAATGGGCCCAGATGGAGGACCCGAACGGACATTTCGAGCCCCCGGCCCCGAGGTGCCCCCAGGAAGCTTCAAGAGGCCCCCAAAAGACCGCAAGAGGCCCCCAAGAGGCCCCAATAGGCCGCAAGAGGCCCCCCGAGAGCCCCCGCAGAGGCCCCCAAACTGCTCCCAAGAGGCCCCCGAGGGCGCTCCGAAGAGACCCCAGGACGCACCCTTGCGAACTCTGACCCGCAACCCTGTCACGGAGGCCGGAAGGGCCGAAGACAAGTCGATATGTTTTCAATAGTGTATTGACTTTCGTTTTCGCCTAAACCTCCCATGTTTTCACACATCAGTGTTTACTAGAGTCTGTGTCGACGTTTCCCTCCTGCAGTTCTCTGTGACCAAGATTCCGAGTCGGGTCCAGACGTGGCGACGAGGCCCTCCCCCGGAGGCCCCAAAACAGCGAGAACGGGGGAGGGGATTCGGTATCGGTGCGTTTTGGTGCTCAGCTCCTGCTGCAGGCGCCAGGCGTACTCCAAGTACTTCTGGATGCGGCGGGACAACCTGCGCGTGACCCTGTTCTTCGCCAGGTAGCGCCGCAGGTCCCAGAACAGGTTGGACTCCTCGGCGCGCGTGATCAGCGCGTTTGTTTGCTATTTCCGACCATCCTGTGTTGGGCTGGACCCCTGCTTGAATCCGCAGCGCCCCGCATCCCGCTCGGTCGTCTTTGCCTCCTCCTCCCATCTCTTCCTCTGCCCTCCGCATGTTGTCATCGTTATCCGAGTCCTCCTCATCGTCATCAGCACCGCCTTCGCCATCACCGCCCATCATCCGTCGAATGTCGGCACACCCCTTGACGTTTCGTGGCCCCACGAGGAGCTCCGCCAAAACCCCAGTGGCAACGCCCGCACGACGGCCCCGCAAAATGTTGACACACTCCTCTCACGCTCCGAGGTCCCATTGGGTCCACCGAAGGCCGCAGTGGCAGGGTGCGTATGGCGGCCCCGCCCCATCTTGGCAGACCCCTCTCACCCCTCTCACGCTTCGTGGCCCCATGGGGAGCTCCGCCACAGGCCCCAGTGGCAGCGCCCGCACGGCGGCCCCGAAAGATTGTGGCACACTCCTCTCAAGCTCGCCCCATTTCGTCACGCTCCTCGCGCGCGTCGTGCCCCCATAGAGATCTCCGCCAACAGCCCCAGTGGCAGCGTCCGCACGACAGCCCCGCAAAACTTCGGCACACTCCTCTCACGCTCCGTGGCCTCATGGGGAGCTCCTCCGAAGGTCCCAATGGCAAGGTGCGCATTTCGGCCCCGCCCCATTTCAGCACACTCCTCGCACTCGCCGTGACCCCATAGGGAGAATCTCCACCGAAGGCCCCAGTGGCAGGGTCCACATGGCGCCCAGGGTCCATTCTGGCACGCCCGTCGTGGCCCCACGGGGAGCTCCGCCCAAGGCCCCGGTGGCAGGGTGCGCACGGCGGCCACGCCCCATCTTGGCACACTCCTCGCGGGCGTCGTGGCCCCATGGGAGCTCCGCCACAGGCCCCGGTAGCAGCGCCCGCACGGCGGCCCCGTCCCAGCTTGGCACGCCCCTCTCGCGCTTCGTTGGGGGAACCGCAATGAACCGATACCGCTGCTCCCGGGACCTCTCCCGGCGTGCGCTCTCACCAGAATTTCGAAGCGACTCCAGGGGTGGCGACGAGGGCCTCCCAGGCAGTCCAAACGGCGGATACCGAGGGAACGATTGCGGTATCGGCACCTCTTCCTCCTCTGATTCGTGGACCAGGGCGAACCACCGAGGCCCCGTTGGCAGGGTGCGCATGGCGGCCCCGAGTCCATTTCGGCACCCCTCGCGCGCGTCGTGGCCCGTTCGGGAGCTCCGCCTGCCGTGTGCAAGACTCTGGCATGCACGTAGAGTCGAGTCCTTCGCCAGGCAAGCTCTTGCTTTTGGCGGGGAAAGGGGCTCCTCGGCGCGCATGCTGCGGAGCTGGGCCAGGGAGCCAGTGACGCTGCCGAGGATGTACGAAAAGCCGAGGAGCGCAAAGATCACCACGAAGATGGCGAAGATACGCTCGCCGAGGCTCTCCGGGTGGACCTCGACGGTGGCCGGGGTAAAGCCGCCACCGCGCAATGCACCGGCTCGGAAGGGCGCACGCGCGGGCGTGAGCGTGTGAAATTCGGGCTCCGAGTGCTTCTTTATAGGTTGAGTGATAACGACATGGGGGGACTGGCTCAGGGGGGATCATCGGGCTGGAATCGGCAATACATCGCCGACGAAGCGGCGATAGGGCCCCACTAGCAGAACCCCTGGTTCCAGGGCGGGGTGGGCTATCGGGCTATCGGGGATTGGGGGTCGACGCGTCCCCCCCTGAGCCTATCCCCCCTAACGTTGGCCCTGATCTGTTTCATGCCTGCGAAGCATGAGCGCAATCCCCCAAACGCATCGACCCCAACGCTGCGCCTCTTTTTTTTGATCCATGTCCCTGCGCCTTTGTGGGTGATGAGAAAACATGATGAGGGGACGCGGGAGGGCGTTGCGTGGACCCGTTCCCCCCATGGGGAGGGTGGGCGACGCGACCCCCTCAATAAGACCCCCTCCTGCTGGCCCCTCCCCACCCGCAGCAAGGTGACCGGTATGCGCGGCAGCGCAACTGGATTGCGCAACGCTCCAGTGGACTGCAGTAGCATACATGTAGACCCAGTCGCCCCTGTCAACAAGTTCGGGATTGAGGGTCCATGATGCAGCGCTGCTGCTGCGGCGGTCTCCGATCGCGTACCAAGCACAGCCGATCTGGTGGCTGATGAGGAGTAGTGTCACGAACATCGAACATATGCTCAGGAGGAGGCTGGTATGCTCCGAAGTGGTCATGTCATTCAACGTGTCGAGTATCCTTCGAAGCTTCAGCAGACGGATGAGCCGCACAATCCGAGCCAACCGTGCCACGTTCAAGAATCGCGTGAACGCCTTGCTGTTATTGTTCTCTTCGCGGTTGCCGAACAACGAGCCAATGGTGAAGATCCAGTCCGGCACCAGAACAAGGGCGTCCACAGGGAACCATGTCTTCATGTATTTCAAAAAGATCTTCCTTGGTGCGAGTACAAAGACCCCGTGCTCCAAATAGCCCTCAGTTAGCGACGCGGGTATGTTCAGCGTCCAGTAAACCAAGATGATCCAGTCCATGGCCCTGCTGAAGTCGGTTTCGTCGGGCTTGAAGGCGTGCTCAATGGGTAGCTTGAAGAGATCGTAGAGGATGAGGAGGGCCCCAAAGAATTGCCAGACTACCCGTGATGGGCTGGTCGGCTGCACGACTATGAGCGGCAGGGCCCCGCCACCGTACTTCGAAACCTGAAGGACAACAGATCGACGCGCTTGGCATACCCAGACACCCAACGACTCTGCATAGTCTAGATGAAGGTGTTTTGCCATTCTCCGCCTGACTGCGGGCGAGTCGCAAGCGATCGTAAAGTCGAGAGCGTCAGGAGCTGGGGCACCCCAGCCGCTCTGAGGCCCACAATTCGGCCGAAGCTGACGAGTTTTCCCCTAGCACCCAGAAGATGACGGAGCTTGGCCTGGATTCCCACCAGCGCCCAAATCAGCCAATAGCGTATGATTGTGCGGCCTTGGAAGCTTCATCTTCCGCGCTCGCGCCAACCACTGTCGAACAGAGCTAAGCACATCCTCCATTCCCAGACGCCCGACTCCGTGAACTTTTCTTAACCCGTGGGCCCCAGACATCTCGACTGACTACCTTGGGACGGTCTTTTGCCCCCGATCGATATGGCGGGATCCGGAAACCCTGTATGAAAAAAACACCATGTGAGGCCGATGCACATTTCCGCCAACTTCCGCCGGCCTTCCGCGGGTTTCCGCCAGCGGAGCCACCCCCGTGTTGCTTTCCCCGCCTTCCGCCGCGGCACCTCAGGGCCTGAATACAGCCCCGAATGGCAGAGATTGGTGACCATCGCCAGGGTGCATCCAAGCATGACCAAGTGGATGCAGGATCATCCCCAGTATGATCTCAAACACGCCGCCAGAATCTCAGAGGACGGCCCAAAGTGTCCGCGGGGCCTCCCAGGGATGCCCCCGAGAGGCCAAAAGGCCAAAAGCAATTGACGACCTTACATGTTGCCTTGCCGCCTTTCCGCTTCGAGTGAACGTCTGAAACTTTAGGATGGCTCCTATTTCCAATGTGGCCCCAGAAAACACACATCACACACACACACACGCAAGCACCCACACAAACGCGCACACACACACACAACACACACGACACACACACACACACACCACTTTTTTCTGAGAGCGCGCTAAGCGTTGGAATCGACGATTCATGTACTATCAAAGCGGGCCGCCACGGCATGCACCCGCAGACTTACACACACGCGCACGCACAACAACACGCACTCGCACAATAACACGCACACGCACGCGCACGCGCACGCGCACGCGCACGCGCACGCGCACATGCACACGCACACGCACACGTACGCACACACGCACACACACATACACACACACGTTCCTCCTCCGGCGATGAGCAGCATGCTTGCGTGGTATGCTAGCGACGGACGCAGCATCGGACCGGAGTCGACTACAGGCAAGAGTGACCCTGGGCAAGCGTGACCTTTGGTGCGCGGCTGAACGGGGGATGCGGGGTGGCCAAACCTGGGCGCGCAAGCCGTACCACTTCGCTTTCAGCGATCGGGGGACGCCGTTGGGCCCGCATCGAATGCCAGCCCCGCGAAAGGTCACTCTTTCGTCCAGTCGACGGAGCGAGCTGCGCAGCGGCGGGCCCGGGCAACCAACCGTGTCGGTGGCCGCCCAGCCTGCGCGGAGGAGCCCCGGCAGACTGCTGGGGCCGTGTGTGCCCCTGCCTGCCGCCGACCTGCACGAGGCCTGCACCCGGCCTGCCGACCACTCTGCGGGCAAGAGCCGTGTCCATGTGCGCTGCGTCTCGGACTCTCATGGGGAAGGGCGCCGAGCGGCCGAGGCGCTCTAGACGCGGATAAAAACGTGGCCCGTGGGAGCAAGGTCTTTATCCATGTCCACTGCGCCAAGGTTGAGCAGGGACCCAACCGTCCCGGCATTCCTATAGCCATACCACGAAATGTTCTAAGAATCAAGAAATATTCTAAGAACAAAAACAGTGTCCTTGGAACATCAACCCGATGTGTTGAAATATGACAGACCCCGCCAGAAATGTTCTAACATTCCGTGGGAACCACAAAAGGTTCTTAGAACATTCTTTGGTGGGGCTATAGGCGAACCAGGACGCTTCGCCACTGCTTGACAAGGGATTCTCGGGAAGGGAGCCCGAAGCTCCAAGACGCAGCGGATGCAGATGCACATCTCGCTCGCACAATCCGGCGAGGAGCCGGCCCGCGCCGAGCGAGGGGAGCCTCGGGCCGGCTGCGCGGCTGGATCGAGGTGGAGCGAGGGCCGAAGCTCTTGGGTCGAGGAGGATCGATGATCGAGGAGGCTGCGGCAACGGTGCCCGCCCCATCCCCGAGGAGGGGGGTCTGTTTAGTCAGCGTCGTAAGCCAAAATGCGACGGGCGTTTTCGTATCTCGACTATCGGCCTCCAGGGGCCACCGCCAAGCGACGGGACCGTCAAACAATTCCTCGGGATGAAGAGCCGGTCCCAGGGAGTGGGTCGAGACCTCTGGGTGGCCGACGTCGTGAACAAATAATGGCGTCCTGGCTCTGGGACCCCGGCCTCGCCTCCAGGCTTGCCGGGGGGGTGCCGTTGCAGGCACGATTGCCCACACGTTTCCTCCAGCGGCGGGGTGGCGGCACCGTCGCGAAGCGGCAAGCCATGGCACGTTTACGCGAATCTGGGACTGGTCTGTCGGGTGGATGGGCTGGGCGTGGCGGCCGCGTGCAGAAGCGGAGAGAGCTGCGCTATAGGCGAGCGGGTCTGTGAGCGAATTTAAAAGCACGTGCAGGCCGTGCAAAAGAGGGGGAACGGAAGACAGAGAGGAAGGAGAGAACCGACAGCTGCCGAGAAAATGTGGCGCGGCCCGCCCGCCATCACGAACAGACACACACACACACACACACACACACACACACACATACACGCACACGCACGCACACGCAGACACACAAGATGGCACCAAGAGAGGTTTCCAAGAGGGCGCCAAGTCGCCTCCAAGACACGCCCAACGAACCCAAGGATACTCCCGAGATGCCAAACGACAAAATCACTTGAGAATCTAAACGTGTTCAATGTTTGCTGCCTTGTCGCCTTGGGCTTCACGGAGTGGGGAGGAGGGGGGGGGCGGCGAAATTGAGATCCGCCGAACTCTTTGGGTATGACCTCCGGGATGGCTCCAGGAGGCCCGAAAGCACCCGAGGAGACTCCGCGCCCCCCCCCGGGAATTCTGAAAAGGTCGGCTTAACATAGGCGCCTCTCTGTGCAACCCTTTGCTCCTGTACCGCCCTTATACCCACAAATCGTCTGAGGTATGACTAGCGTGTGTGAGTGCGTGTGTATGTGTGTCTGGGTGTGTGTGTGTGTGTGTGGGTGTGCGTGCGTGCGTGTGTGCGTGACTGCGTGCGTGCGTGCGTGCGTGAGCGCGTGCGTGTGTGCGTGCGTGCGTGCGTGCGTGCGTGTATGCATGCATGTGTGTATGTGCGTGAGAGAGAGAGAGAGAGAGAGAGAGTATGCGCGTGCGTGCGTGCGTGCGTGTGCGTGCGTGCGTGTGCGTGTGCGTGCGTGCGTGCGTGTGTGCGTACGTGTGCGTGCGTGCGTGCGAACGCGCGCGAAGTCGTGCGTGCGTGCGCGTGCGTGCGTGCGTGCGTGTGTGTGTGTGTGCTTTTCCCTGCCTCCAGAGAACGGCGTGGTCGCTCCCGCCGCGGTGCAGCGAGCTGGTGATGGTCATGGAGCGGCTCCTGCTTGCCCCTCCCCCCCATGCCTCCCCGCTGCCTCCTCGTCTTCCCTACTCCCTGTTTCCCCCTGCTTCCCCTGTCCTCCTTGTCCTCGCCCTCCTTCCCCCCCTTTCTCTTCCCCTTCCGCCTCGTCTCCCCCCTCCCCTGTGCTCTCCACAATTTCTCAATATGAATACTACTCTCCCTGTTCCCCTGATGACGGCTTGAAAGTGTTAGCCCCCCCCCCCCCGCGTACTGCTTTTTTACACACAAGATTCCCGAGTTGGGTTTTCGCCTGCACTTTGTTCCAAAATGCTGCTCTCGCTCAGGCGCCGGCCTCATGTTCGGGCCCCGCTCGTTCCGAATCATGCTCCCGCTGCAGCGCTGGCCTCATTTCCGTGCTTCCGCTCGTTCCGAATCGTGCTCCCGCTGCAGCGCTGGCCTCATTTCCGCGCTTCCGCTCGTTCCGACTCGAAGCTCCCGCTGCAGCGCTGTCGTCATTTCCCGTGCCATGCCACGGCATGCAATGCAATGCTAGGTTGATACACTACGCTTTGCGGTGCTCTTCTACGCCATGCCATGCGGTGCTCTACAATGCATCGCGTACCCTTTCGGGATCATTGCCCTGCTCGACATCCGACTGCGCGAGTAGAGAGGGGATCTACGCCATGGTAACGGATGGGAGGGAGGGGTAGGATGTCAGATATGACGCGAGCGCACCTAGCTTGCCCCTCCCCCCTCCTTCCCCCCCGCCCCAAGAGGCATAGTCCGGAGTCTGGGCGACACGCTGGGGCCCAGGGGCTCTAAAATCCGCTGAGACTTGGCCTGTGCCGGGGCTGCACCGCGGGGGGCCTTCGGCGGACGCCTCTTGGCCTCTGGCCAGGTGGCGACCGTCAGCGGCCTTCGGGGACTTGGCGATGCTCGCCGTGAGGGCCCCCGTCCCTGGGTTGGTGCGGATCGAATATCCGGCCTGCGCTGGCCTGCACGAAGCCCACCTGCGCGGGGGTGGGCATGACCGCTGTCGCGGCCCGCCTAACGACCTGCGGGCTCAACGGTGCGGACAGGTGGGTCGGCCCGAGGGGGGTATGCCTCAACGGTCGGTGGGTCCCATACCTACTCGGGCTGGGGCCCCCACCCCCGGTCGTCGAGGGGGTGCCACAGTCCTGCGAGGCCTGGGAAGGCGTAGTGGCGTCGTTATTTGAGCGTGCGGCCCCTTCGGACGCACGGGAGGTGCGGGAGAGTGCCGTCGCCTTCGGAAGCTGTGAATGAGGCGGCGTGTTGCTGCCTGCGCTCCCCTCCCCGGCCCGTTGCCTCCCCAGGCCTCCGCCGCTCTCGGCGGGCACGTGCGCTCTTTTGGCGCCACGGCTCTCTTCGCCGGCTCGTCCCGGGCTCCCTGTCCGGCATCCTCTTTTCTCGCATCGTCCTCTCGGCTGCTGTAAAATGCGTGCCTGGCGCCAGGCTTCACACTCTTGCGCACCTTCGGCTTAACGCTGTTCGAGGGGGCAGCGTCCAACCACAACTTCCCTTCCTCCTCCTCCACGTTCTCCTCCTCCTCGATCCTGCATCTCCTACCCTCCTGCTTCCTCCGACGCTTCCTTAGACATCCCTCTTCCTTTTGAAACACCTCTCCCTCCCGCACCACCGTACGTACCCCTAGTGCGGGCCAGGTGGTGTCTCCTGAGACTTCATCACCATTCCTGGTCTGGAAGCTTGACGTGCCAGACAATTGCAAGATGAGTGCAAGCCGTTTTCAAAAAGGCCGCGTACACTCGTCTCAACACATCTAACAGTTACACGGAAACACACACACACACACACATGTCGTGTCCAGATGGGACTCCCGCCTCTGCACCGCGCAGACTGGTCTTAAGCATCTCCAACAATTTCACGAAACGGAAGGAGGGCGGACCATTTCAACATGGGGCTCTCGCATTGGCGCCGCGCAAGGTGCGCCCTAAATGCTTGCAGAAGCTACACGGATTGAAGACGGTCTGTTCTCTTCTCAATGCTGGGCTCCCGCTTCAACCTTCTTTTCAATTTCTGGCCCCAAACCTGAACTTTCGCGACAATTCCATGGATGAGCGGCGGCTCC